TCTCGGGAAGAATGTTGCTCTCGTGACTCGACGTAGGGAAAGAAAAAGTTGCGCCTTGTTATCAAAGTCAATATTTTCTGAGCCTGACTTCCAGTCATCTCTAGAACACATCTACTTTTTGCACAGGGTTTAATTAATCAGAGTAAGAATAGGGAAGTTCCTCACATGGGGCAGGTTGTATTTCTATCCACTCTTGGTATCTGTGTCATTTTCACTCGTGAAATTCGGTAGTATCGTAAGTACACATCATCTGTGAAGATTAATAGGTATATCTTATATCTGAGCATCATCTCTTTGGAGTCGTAATAATTACTAATATGAAAGCATGGTATAATAACTCATAATAGGCATCTAATAAATATTTATCCATTGGTGTGAGCGTGTCCCGTATCTTCAGCATGTGAGTATGAGGAAAAAACAACGATCCGTTTACCATAGTATTAAGTAGAACTATTAAATTGATTCCTAAACTGATTACAAGACACAGATTAATATAAATTATTGCATTCATATTGATTAAGGCCTTTCAGATGCTTAAGCTAGGAATACCTTTTCTGTCGTAGGCAAGTTACTTTCTAAGGATGACGTGTGAAACGAAATGATTTGGGGTTGTTAGTTTTACCGTGAGTCATAAATAATTTCACTGCTTCCGTCTGCCTAACATCTTCCTACTTTCTTCTGGTAATAGAATTTGCCTTTCCTATAGAGAAGATAACATTTGCGGCTTCAGGAGATACTGCATTGTGGTTTTTCTCCACCAACACCCCTCCCCTGCTCATAGGATAGTCCCCTCCACCCCGAGCCATGAGGATCGTCCTGGACTTTTCTTTTAGAGCTGTCAGGAAATCAGCTTTCTGCCTGGGTTGCCAGGAACATGGGAGTCTAAGGCTGCCAGTGTTGTGTTGGCTGCCCCATGGAAAGGGCCTGCAAGCAGGAATATGCCAAGCACATTTAAGAGATGGAAAGAGTCAGAATCATGGTGGCACATTTGACACAGAATCTAGTCATTCCTTTTCGTTTTTTTAAGACTTTATTTTATTTATTTGACAGAGAGAGAGAGAGCCAGAGAGCACAAGCAAAGGGAATGGCAGAGGGAGAGGGATAAGTAGACTCCCCACTGAGCAGGGAGCCCAATGCGGGACTCGATCCCAGGACCCTGGGATCATGACCTGAGCCGAAGGCAGACGCTTAACGACTGAGCCACCCAGGCGCCCGAAAAGTTAAATACTTTTAAAATAGTGGCACTGTTGAGAGGAACAGAGAAGAAGCCTGTACTGGGGTTTGATCAGGTCAGAACCACCGTGAGTGATGTAAGGGGTGTATTATGGGGTATTAAGCCGATGCAGTACTGGGAGTGAGGCTGTCTGGTAAGCTGCTGGGCCTGTACCTGGTGCTGGGCCGAGGTAAGCAGGACTGTCAGAGAGGAAAGTAGGGGCGGGGGTTGGGGGGTGGGGGGGAGCCACCGAGATCTGCAAGGCTGAGCTGAAACTGATCAGAACAAACCAGAACACGTGTCTGTGTCTTGCTGCTTCCAAGCCCGCAACTTGGATGACGCAGGTACCTTCCCGAAGAGTGCGTGCAGTTCTCCGTGGAACAACACACAGCCTTGGCCCGGTGTGAATGAGAGGTGGACGAGCTCAGGGACTGTCTGCTGCCCAGGGAGCTGGTAGGAGCTGGAGAAGCTGCAGCCGCAGTGCCCCTCCAGGCCACCAGGGCAGCCAGCAGACCCTCAGCTGTGGAGTGTAAGACTTCAGTTCCACCTTCCAAATCCCATGCCAGCTCTGTGGCTCTCCGGAACGTCCAGTTGTGCAGGAACGGGGGGGTGGGGCAGGCTGGTTCCCGGTTAACTGAACTGATGCAGCACAAACCCAGCAGCCGTCATGGTTCACCCCTTGTCAGCTTAGCACTTGGACACACGTTTCGATCAAACTTAGCTTCCAAAGAAGGCGATAGCAAAATTGTGTTTACGCCAAACAGGATGAAATGATCCCTCAACCCAACGTTCACTAATCCAAAATTGACTAGTCCTTTCTGTGTCTTTGGGTGATGTTCCTCTCTCTTCAAGCTGGGTCACAGTCCCCCTGGATGTTGTACAGCCTGAATTCTGAGACACCAGGTGAAATGCTGTTGGCATACATTCAGTGGTAGGAGAATGGGAGAGAGGAATAAACAGGTTTATATACACAAATATGATTATATGAAAATAAACGTATTCAGATTCCTTGTGTCTGCCCCTGGTCACAGGGCCACAGCTGGTATTTATAACTACCTTTTTCTACCAGCCATCCCATATTCCCTTTGTCCTCGGCAAGCACCTCAGACGATTGTAGTTCTTGGCACCGGAGATGACCCAAAACTGAGTTCTAGAAGGGTCTGGATGTGGAGCTCTTAGACACTACTAGTAGGAATGTAAAGTGGCAGGCCCCCTTGGTGAAACTGTACACTTTAAAAGGCTGTTGGGTGGGCGCCTGTGTGGTTCAGTCGGTTAAGCCTCTGCCTTCCGCTCTGGTCGTGATATTGGGGTCCTGGGATCGAGCCCCACGTGGGGCTCTCTGCTCAGTGGGGAGCCTGCTTCTCCCTCTCCATCTTCCTTTGCCTCTGCCTCTCACTTGTGCTCTCTCTCTCTCAAATAAATAGATAAGATCTTTTTTAAAAAATTAGAATATACTGGGGCGCCTGGGTGGCTCAGTTGGTTAAGCGACTGCCTTCGGCTCAGGTCATGATCCGGAGTCCCGGGATCGAGTCCCGCATCAGGCTCCCTGCTCAGCGGGGGGTCTGCTTCTCCCTCTGACCCTCTTCCCTCTCGTGCTCTCTGTCTCTCATTCTCTCTCTCTCAAATAAATAAATAAAATCTTTAAAAAAAAAATTAGAGTATAAAAAGAAAAGGCTTTTGGGCTAGAGGGTAAAGCAGGATGTTGATTTCTCTCCATCTCCATTGCCACAGCCTTGTTAGGCCCTCACCATCTGTCACCCGGGCCATTAACAGCCAAAACCATCCTCCAAGTGGCAGTCACAGTGATCTGCCCAAAATGCATCTCCTGCATGTTAGCGTGGCATGTGAAGCTCTCCACGATCTGGCTCTTCACCTACCTCTGGAGCTTCCTTTCCAGCCATCCAGTGACCCTGATGCTAATGGTAGTTAAATGTGTCATTATTAAGCACTTGGTCCATGCCAAGCATAATGCTGTATATCAATATCTTATTGATCCTCACATTAACCTGGCAAGTTGCATGCTATTAACCCTCATTTTACAGATGAGGAAACGGGCTTTCAGACAGTGTCACATAGCCACTAGTCATTGGTAAAGCTGAAATGTAACCCTCGTCTCTCACGCAAAGCCTGGATGGACCTTTAACCTCTGTGCTGTCCTGAACTCTTTCTAGCTACTCGAGCGTATCATGAGGTTTCTGCCTCCCGTGCCTTTCTTTCTGTATGTTTCCCCTTGCGTCTAGACTGCGCTTTTCTTCCCTCCAGTCCCCTTAAAGCATCTGACTCCTGCAGAGTCTTGGAGTCTGTTTAGGAGTGCTTGAAAGATGTTTGCCCTGCCTGCCTCCCGGCTACTTCAGAACCCGTTTTAGCACATCTCCCTTTCACTGTGCTGGGCACATTATTATAATCATCTGTATCCTCGTCTTTCCGTTAGATTAAAGGTTGGCAAACCCTTTTCAGTTAAGGGCCAGAGAGTAAGTATTTTAGATTTTGTGGGCCATGCTGTCTCTGTTGCAACTGCCCGACCCAGCCTCGGGTGTGAGAGCCAACCATAGCATGATGTAGACAGTGGGTGTGGGTGAGTTCCAACACAACTCTGCTAATGGACACTGAAATCTGACTTCGGATAATGTTCACATGTCACAGAATATTCTTCTGCTTTGGATTTATTTTTCCAGTCATTAAAAAAAATGTAAAAAAAAAAAAAACTTACCGTCTTGTGAGCCATACCAGGAGCAGGTGCAGGTGGGACGTGGCCCATGAGCTTGCCGACCCCTACGTTAGAGTATGAATTTCTTTTTTTTTTTTTTTAAGGTTTTATTTATTTATTTTGACGGAGAGAGAGAGAGACAGCGAGAGAGGGAACACAAGCAGGGGGAGTGGGAGAGGGAGAAGCAGGCCTCCCGCCAAGCAGGGAGCCCGATGCGGGGCTCGATCCCAGGACCCTGGGACCCTGACCTGAGCCGAAGGCAGACGCTTAACGACTGAGGCACCCAGGCGCCCCTAGAGTATGAATTTCTGGAGAGCAGATCCAGTACCTCATTGTTAGGGTTTCCATACCAGTGTGTCGTCCAGATTGGGATGCTTTTGAGAGCGAGAAGGTTGCTGTTGATGATGCTGGGATCACAGGGGTAAAGGGGGAGCTGCCCCAGGCAGAGAGAGGTAGTTACGCTAGTCACAGTGTCGCCTTCTTGGCTATGTAGTTTCATCAGGGTTCCTAATCCCTCAGCCCTGGTTCTTGACTTTAGTGGCCCATTTCCACTGGTTGATTCACAGGCTTGGGGGTGTGTGCAAGGTTCTGAAATCGTCTAGAGCATGAAAGCTTTATACCCGCAACAATTAACTTCCTCTGAAGGAAGCAACTGTATGTTTAACTGTGGTTTTCAGAGTGGATCGAAGTGGAACCACGCATATTCTAGACAATTAATGCTTATAATTCTTTTAAAGATTTTATTTATTTATTTGAGAGACAGAGAGAGCACGAGTGGGGTGAGGGGCAGAGGGAGATGCAGACTCCCCACTGAGCAGGGAGCCCAATCCCAGGACCCTGGGATCACGACCTGAGCCGAAGGCAGATGCTTAACTGACTGGGCCACTCAGGCTCCCCTTTTGCATATAATTTTTAAATATGTCTCTCCCAGGGAATTTTCCTCCATTGAGTGACAAGAGTATGAGTTCGTACAATCAAAATTAAAATGACATTTACTGTGGACAAAAGTATACAACTGAAGCAGAAAAGAAGATTATTTCATGTTATATTGACGTCTTCTTTTTTTCGATCTTTTTGCAGTTTTTTGAGGTGCCGTTTGATTCAAATATGAATAGGACAAAGAACAGACCTCTCGTTCGTGGACAAATCAGGTAAAATCATGAATAGAAGTCTCTTTCACCTTCTAGAACATTCCTTTGCTTGTTTATCCTGAATCATGTCCCAGTCTTTTGCCTTGAGTTGTGAGGGGAAAGTAACACCCTCCCAAAGGGACACGTTGATTTGTATGCGCAGAACTTTTCAACTCTCCCCAAAATGTACTACAGAGCACTTAAAATGGATCTAAGATTTGCTGTTCTGTTGTGGGAGTAACTCATGCAATGGATTTCTTTATGAAATTCCATTTTGAAACACGGACTTGTTTCACTTGCAGTGACTGAGGATGAAAACATTCCATTAACACAAATGATTTCAGACAAATTCATACAGGGTCTCCAAAGAAAGATCTGTCTGAAGCCTTAGTTTTTCAGACAAACTGATAATGCTGTTATCTGCCGAATAAAGCACTACCCCCATTACTCTCCTTTCTACCAAATTCAATTAAGTAGAACTAAAAGGCATATAAATATTTTAATATCACTAATGGTTAATAATTAAACATTTTACTTCCTGGAGACCTTGAAACTGGCATTTAAAAAAAATTTTTTTTTCAAATCCAGTGGATATCATAAGCCAAGAAGAATAAGAAGAACCAAATGGTTTTACTGACGATTCTAAATCAGTGAATCCTCTCCTATTTCCAGGCAGTGCCCTGATGGAGCTTAAAATGTATTGGGGTAACTTTGAATCAAGTAATCACACCTATTCAGTAAAACCATAAAGGGAACAAATGCAGGTACAGTCAGAAGTCTATGTAAAAATGATTTTTAATATTAGCTGTTTGGAGCCGTTCAGTTCTTTAAAATACCATTATATTGCAAAGAGTAATGAAAACATGTAAGAACAGATATCTGATATCCACTGATAGTCGATTTCCTTTTTTGAGATACCAATAGAGCCATCTGCTATGTTTTTATTTAAAGTGTCAGAAGGACTTTTATCTGGGTGGAGTTGTTCTAGAAGAGCAAATACAAGCTCCATCACCCAACTCAAAAGCTAGAAGCTGCCCATGCTTCTGGTCAGATCACTGGGAAGTCCTTACACCTTCCTGCAGGGAAATACCACTACCCCCCCCCCCACCCCCGAGAACCAAGAGAAATGTGGACGAGCCCAGCAAGTAGCCCTTAGGCATCTAATGATCAGATAAAGGCCTGCCATAGTCCTCGTATCTCATCTTCCTCTGCCCAGTGTGGTCACCTTCTGCACCCAGGAACGCCAAGTCGACCAGTGCCTCCAGGGAGAGGCGCACATGACCTTGTGGTTGGCATCGGCAACGCCCATCCTTTACAGGAAAGAGGCTGCCGCACAATCATTAGTCTTGTTAAACCGGTACCTTCATCTTTTGTTTGCAAGAAATACCTGGGCAGAATCTCATCTATGCTAATAAACCTTAATTGCTACCTAAAATAGCCTCTAAAAGGGCAAATGTTAGGGCTGAAAAAAGGACTCCAACTTATGTGAAGAGCGGGGATGTATTTTATTAAACAGATACAAGGAGATGTTCCTTGAGTCTGGGGCAGAAGAAATCTTGCCCTAAGAATCATAGTTTTAAAACTGAAGACTTTAAGGGGCGCCTGGGTGGCTCAGTCGTTAAGCGTCTGCCTTCGGCTCAGGTCATGATCCCAGGGTCCTGGGATCGAGCCCCACATTGGGCTCCATGCTCCGCAGGAAGCCTCTTTCTCCCTCTCTCACTCCCACTGCTTGTGTTCCCTCTCTCACTGTGTCTCTCTCTGTCAAATAAATAAATAAAATCTTTAAAAAAAAAAAAACAAAAAAAACTGAAGACTTTATATCTCGCCACTTAGGGTTTATTATAACCTAGTAAATGATTACTACACAGATATTTTATAACTGGGTGGCCGTGGGGGGGTATAGTAGAAAGTCTTATAGACCACCCATTAGCATTAATTTCTCAGCTTTGGTGGTTCTGACATTCACAATGGCTATTGGGCATTTAAGTGCAAAGCCCAGCCAGTTTATTTTGAAATTCTCGATTTGGCATTTACTGCCCCATTTGACTTGGGCTGATCTGCCTTATTGAATCCCACTTCATAGACTTTGCAGTTTGGTGTGTGAAGTGTAAGTTCCCGACATTATTGACGGGTCTGGGAAGGAAATCCTTGGACGTCTTTGCTGATGATAGCTGTTTCCGTCTTTGTACCTAGGTTGGCCCCTCTCCATTCTAACGAAATACTGTGAGCATTTATGGGGGGAAAATATATATATATATAGAGAGAGCGAGCATTAATTTTTTTAGGTGATTAACAATTTATTTTGAAAATTTTTACTGAAGTAAATAAAATTATATTCTAAGGAGTTAAAGAAATACACTTAAGGAAAGAAACATGCCTGGACTAGTTGTTCTGGTTTTTTGGGTTTTTTTGAGAACCCGGGAAATCAGTACAGTTGTGCACACGTGTGGCTGCCATTCTCTGAACTTTTCGTCGTTTCTTCCAGAAAAACATGTTAGTGTGGGTGGGCACTGAAAGCTTTGTGGAGCTGACCCAGAAGAAAGTGCTTTTTTGCTTGTTTAATTTAGTCTTTATTCCAGAGAGGATTAGAGGTATTGTAAGACTGTATTTTAGCAAAGCAGAGAGACGTGTATAGAAAATCAGGGTTATAGAAAATAGAATATGCGATAAATGGTAAGAACCAGGAAAGATTCTCCAGTTCACCTCGTTAATAAGGTTGAACTGTGGATTTCATTCTGCATTCCCGGTGAAATCACAGCTCTATCATAAGGGTAAGCATTGCGTGTATTACAAAGAAGTGGCAGAACCAAAATTTGGCCTACTCCATTGGACTCCCTGCCCTGAGTTCTTAGCAACTACACATAACTGTCTCCGAAAGTCTCTTTGGCCATCAGAAGATAACCCCACTCTAGGGAGACAGAACTTCTGCCTCTCCATTCTTAAAAGATAAGATGGGACACTTGGTGATGATCTTAGAAGAATGTCCTCTGTGACTTCCATGGAGGAAGCAAATCATTTTCTAAGGCATCTCTCAGCACAAGCCAGGGGAAAATACCAAAGAACGGCTCCTGCTGTGAGAACCGCTTAGAGTGAATCTCCTTGAAGCAAGTGGGGAGGAAGAAGCTCGTGGTAGACATACTGGCCTAAGGAACATCTCTAGTGGTTCAGCTTGATCCAGGGATTAAAGGTTTATTTATTTATTTGAGAGAGAGAGAAAGAGAGGAGGGGCAGAGGGAGAGGGAAACAGAGAATCAACAGCACACTCTGCGCTGAGCATGGAGCCTGACGCGGGGCTCGATCCCATGACCCTGAGATCACAACCTGAGCCCAAACCAGGGTCAGATGCTCAACCGATCCCGCCACTCAGGGCCCTGATCCCGGGGTTAAACTGAGACCATGAAAGAGAGAGGAGAGAAGGTGCCAGTCTCCTGTGTGTCAGGCAGTGTGGGGAATGACCTCCGCCACACGACACGATTGTGAAGTGGGCTAGCGGTGGAGTGGCCATTTGTCCGGTTTGCCCAGGACAGTCCTGCTTTACACCACAATTACTGATGGCGTCCCACTCTCAATAATGTCCAGGCTGGATGATGACTCTGTGCCACCTGATATAAAGGGATGGTGGGGATGGCTCTGATGTTCACAGAAGTCCCTTATTTTTAAGTCTATTTCCTATAAATTCCAATTGCTTTTTTTTCTGACTAGGGGAGGGGAAAAAAAGCACATAAATGGAAAGTATGTTGTGTCTAAATCCGTTTGTAGATACACACCGTGACACATACCCCTCTAAATAGCTTTTTAAAGATGACACTCGGTGTCTTTACATTTGTTTATAAATTAGAGAAGATAAATAAGGTCAGCTAACTGGTATGGACATTTCTGGCAAAAATGTCACAGTTCTGAATGACTTGTCAGGAGGGAGTTGGGCTTCAAGCTCCCTTTTGATTCTCTGGCAGAGAACAGAGCGTAGAATTCATGTCCCATGTCAGGAACTCACATTGAAGGGCAAGTCAACTCACCTAAGGAGTCAAATCCACAAGTCACGTAATGAAGGTAAATGTCAAGAGAAGTTTATCTTCTTATTGAAAGTCAGATCCAGTGTGATCCAGTTTTAACTTGGTGACTGGAGAAAGTTAACCAGCAATTTTTAAAAAAATCTGTATAATAGGAAGGCATTTCAGGCTTCAGATGTTCTTCATATGGTAGTCAGGGTCTAGTGAAAAATGTTACCTAACAGACTCGAAGCTTGGGCAAGTCACTGAATTAACCTTTCCCCACCACCTCTCCCTCCTGGAGGGATTGCGGTTCCGGCCTTGTTCATCTCACGCCATCGCCGTGCAGGTAACAACAAGATCCGTAAAATCATGCAAATACATGTGCATTGTTGGGAAGAAGGTTTAAAACTCAAGGGAAAAAAAAAAAGGAGTTATTTGTAGAAATTTCACCTGTTTCCAAAATTTGCTTTAAAATGTAAATATTCCAATACTTATCAGGCAATAACATAAAAAAGAAATTTAGGTTAGTTTCTAGGGTTAGGGAGAAAGAAGCAAAACACGTGGGGAGGGAGAGACCTCAGAACATGGCAGGTGTTGTACATGTTTGTGTGACCACCCAGCGGCGGCTTGTAAGAGAAGGTTGTCCCAGTAGAGGGGTGTGCTGGTTGCCAGGGTTACTAAGAGGTGGATGACGGGCTCTCCATTCTCTTAGGGTGGCATGGAGGAGGTGACGGGCCAGTTGTGTAAGGACACGAATTGTCACCGTGAGAAGTACAGTTTACTCTATAAATGTATCTCCGAATGCACCTGCCAGTCAGGCCCCGCACTGGACCCCGGAGATGTAATGGTCAGCGCGGCAGAAGGGACCTGCCAGGTGATGTGGCAGCACAAAGAGGAGAACCTGACCCAGACCACGGAGGTCCAGGGTGGACTTAGCGGAGGGGTGAGGTCTTGATGCTGAGAACCAGAGGATGAGCAAAAGCTGCCCCAGCCTGTTCTTTTTTGAGTTCTTTCCATTCCTGCCTCCCCTGGCCGCACCTTCATTGGTGGTCGCTAGCCTTCTTCTGATCTCATTCTTTCTCTGCAGACACTGCATTCTACCCTGTCTAAACCTCCGGCCCAGACCGCTCTTCTGGGCGGAGACCCTTTGAAAGTCTCTTTTGGGGTGCCTCCGGAGGCTTCTCAGCTTCCGCAAGTACATATCCCAGTACATCACTTCCTCTCCCACGCTGGCTTTTTGTTCATTCACATTCCAAAGTCAGGTGCCTGTAAGTCACTCTAGACTTTCTGTCCCGCCCCCTTCATCCGACTGTGGGCTAGACTGTGTCTTTCCAGCCCCCAGAAGCACTCTGGAGTCTGCCCTCTCCCCCTATTTTTAATGCCACAATACCAGAGGGAACAAAGTGGACAAGAATCCCTCACATCACGGAGCCTGCATTCAGGCCATCACACCTGGCAGATTGCTGCTGCTTAATGAGGGATGGGTGCACCGATGGACGGACGGATGGACAGATGTTAGAGATGTAGAAATGACCTCCCAAGCGAGGGAAACACAGAAGTGAAGACTCTGAGACGGGGATACTTGGCACACGGCATCAAGGGGATGAGGAGGCCATTGGGACAGGCGTGAGCAATCAGTGAGGAGAAAGTGTGAGCATGAGGGTGGGGGGTGGGCTGTAGACCTTGACAGACAAACCGACTTTGGATAGGATAGGTGGAGAATAGAGCAAAGGTCATACCAGGCAAGATGAGCATGAGGAGCAAAGATGCAAGGAAGGGAGGGCAAAATATGTGTTTAAGGATAAAAATAAATGACTTGGCCAGACTCAGAGGGAAGGATTTGAAGGAGCATGGTGAGGAAGCAAAGCCAGGAAGGAGGCTGAGAAAACGTGCCTGCCACACCAAATTGTGAAGGCTGTTTTGTAGGGATTGGACCGTGGTCTGCGTTGTGCTGGGGCTCTTCAGCAGCGCAAGACAAGAAAAAGAAACAACAGGCCTGTGTCTTGGAAAGGAAGAAATGAACTCTTCATTCACGGGCAGTGTGACGGTTTACACGGAAAATTCAAATGAATCTACAAAAAAGCTACAAGAACTAGCAAGTAAATATAGCGGGGGGCATGAGACGCAAGGTCAAGACACAGAATCCGGCTGCCCGAAGTTAGGCAAAGAATTCTTACATGAAACACAAAAAGCACAAAAAGTAATAAGTAAATTAGACTTCACCAAAATAAAAATTTTTGCTCCCCCAGAAACACTTCTGAAAATGACTGGACCAGCCGCAGAGTGGGAAAAAATATTTGCAAAGCGTGGAGCTCATGAGGATCTTGTGTCCGGAATACATACCCAGTCCCTAAAACCCACTAACAAGAAAACAACCCAATTAAAACATGGATGAAACATTGAAACAAACACTCCACTAAAGAAGACATACAGGGGGGCGTCTGGGTGGCTCATCTGCCTTCAGCTCAGGTCAGGATCCCGGGGTCCTGGGATCGGGTTCCGCATTGGGCTCCCTGCTCAGAGGGGCATCTGTTTCTCCTTCTCCCTCTGCTCATGCTCGCTTTCTCTTTTTTTCTCAAGTAAAATCTTTAAAGAAATGTAAAATAAATAAAACTTAAAAAAATAAAGAAGACATACAGATACCAAATAAACACATAAAGTTTTCAGTATCACTAGTCATTAGGGGAAATGCAAATGAAAACCATAGTGAGACAGCACTGCACACCTATGAAAACAGTTATCATTTTTAAAACAATAATACCAAGTGGTGGCAAGGATGTGGAATGACCGGCCTCCTCCTGGGTTGCTGGCGTGAATACAAAGTGATAGAGTTACTTTTTGTAAAACAGTCTGGCAGATTCCTATAAAGCAAAACGAGATTTTCCATATAACCCCACCCCTGCGTGTCTCTGGAAATAAATGTCCATACAAAGACCTGTACATGAATATTTGTAAGAGTTTAATTTGTGATTACTGAAAGCATCCTAACTGTCCCTCAGCTGGTGAGTGTGTGTAGGTACAATGACGTGGATACAGTTCAAAAGCATTGTAAGTAAAAGATACCAGAGGTTACATACTGTACGATTCCATGTGTATGACATTTCGGAAAGCCAAAACTTGGAGGACAGAAATCAGATCAGTGGTGACCGGGAATTGGGGGAGAAAGAAGGGGATTAAGTACAGAGGAGCATGAAGGAACTTTGTGAGGGGACAGAAATATTCTGTATCTTGATCGTGGCGATGGTTACACAATTGTACATCTTTTTCAGAACTCAGAACTAACCATATGCCTGAAACATGGGAATTTTACTATGTGCAAAATGACTGGATTTTCAGGGCACTTGGTTTTCCCTGGGGATCATATTGATGTAGATTGCAGAGCATAAGATGTTGGGGTCACCCTGCCTGGACTCAAAATCCAGCTTCTCTACCTGCTCCACCAGGTGGGAGCATGGTAGTAAACTGCTGTATTCTCTTCTGTAAAATGGGGATAACGCCCTTACCTCGCAGGGTTAGATGAGAACACGACCCTTCTTCTAAAGCAGACGGTGAATGACCATTCGGTCATCACTGTGGTGGTTACTACTTTTTCAACAACCATGTGCTGAGCATCTCTGAGTGTTAGGCTCCGGCTAAATGCTGGAATATGGCTGACATGACCCGGTTCCTGCCCTCATTACGGTCCAGTGGGGGAGGTAGAAAGTAAACCAGTGAACAAATAAGTTTTAAAAGGTCATTATCTAGGTGGCCATCAGCTGTGCAAAGAAAATAAACGGGTAATACAGAGCAATTGGTGGAGACCCTTTGAGAAGGAGAAGTAGAGGGACGCTGCTCTTGAGGAAGTGGCATATGCGTTGAGACTCGAAGGGTAAGGATGCAGAGAGTGCGGCACGTGCAAAGCCCAGGCAGTCAGGGTGGGCCTGACACGGTGAGGAGAATGGAGGCCACAGTGGCCAGAATGAGCCGAGTGCTATGGGATGAGGTTGGAAGTACAGCACGGTGAGAAGTCTGGCTTGAATCCTGGGGGCAGTGGGACGCCGGAAATGAATCCTAACTATGAAATCGCTGTGATTGCATTTATATGTTTAAAAGAACTCTGTAGAATGTACCATAGCATTACAAGAGTGAGCAGAGCCCTGCTGCTGGCGCAGGGGAGTGGACAATGGCGTGGACCCGGGCGGTCACAGCAGAAGTGAAGTTTGTTGTTGCTCCATTCAGAAGGCGGGCTGGCCGCCCTTGCCTGCAAATTCACTTGAATTGTGTCTGCTTTGCAAAGCCTTTCCATCTTTCCTGTGGATCACAGGTCTCCCACAGATAAACCCCGCCCGTCCCTGCCTCCCTGCCTCTGTTCCTCCCGTTCCTCCACCAGCCTTCTCGAGTTTTCCCTCTTCCACAAGGTCTCCCCTGTCTGCACGCATCTCCACCTTTCTTAAATTCTGCAGCCTCCGGGCAGGCACCATGTAATCCATCAGGAAGTAGAGTAGCAAAGCAGACATGAGAACCAAACCCCCAGAGAAGTAGTAGCCCCACTGTCCCGTCAGGCGCTCCCAGCCACCACAGCAAAACTACATGGCTGTTCAGTCTGCGAGCCAGTGCCCGACGTTTAGACAGAAAGGAATATACCCTGCAGGGAAACAGACCTCTCTAGGAATCCCCATCTCTCCTCCCCGGGGAGCCATAGAAGCTGAATGGTCTGAGCGCCCAGCCATCTAAATATAAACCCACCTTTTGTTGAACTCAGTGATTCTCGAACTTGAGTGGACATTACTTCCCAGAATTGGACATACGTAACCTTGCATGCACTTTCTGGATCGCTGCAGGGGATTCTGAAGGATAATTTTGAGTATCATGTATTTTCACTGTAGGGCTGACCTAAATAAAGGAGACAGACGGCAGCCCCACTGTATTTCCAGACCCTGAAAATGCATGCGGTCCTGTGACGGGTCTGATGTCCAGCCTCAGTACTGCCTGCCCTCTGTTCCCTGAGCGGCCACCGTGGCTTCGTCTGCGTTGTTCCCGGTGATGGAGAAAGTGACGTTGCGTGCATTTAATAGACGAGGAATAGTGACAATTGACGGTTTTCGAAAGAGCCAGTTACAGTATGTGCACACCCGTTACGTTTTAGGCAACAGAAACTTTCTGCAGTTGTGTTGAGAATCAAAGGTGAAAGTCTTTACAACTACAATACCATCTAATGAAGATAAAATCTGTGAAATTATACTATCATTTGTCTCATTTTCCCAAAGAGGATACAGAGGACAGTACTTTTAATGATCTCTTTTATTGCCTGCATAAAATGCCGAGTCTGTATATCGAAGGTTATCACTCACCATTAATAAAAGAAAGACTGTCTTCCTTATCAACTGTGGTCCTAGTGGATAGAAAGATGGCTTTTTTTTTTTTAATACTAAGATGACATGTTTAAGTCCATCCTAACTCTTGCAGGCCCACAAGAAGGGATTATTTACTCCGATTGTCTGTTCTAGAGAACAGTGGGGCCTTAACAGTAATTGCAGGTGGTTAATAGAAACATCCTTTTGGGGCGCCTGGGTGGCTCAGTTGGTTAAGTGACTGCCTTCGGCTCAGGTCATGATCCTGGAGTCCCAGGATCGAGTCCCGCATCGGGCTCC